CAGACGCAGCACCCATTTTTTCTCCCACGCATCAATTTGTCTAAATCCCGTAACTTCACATTTCAATCTAATGTACTAAATCTAAAATTGAAGGCAAAATGAAGGAGAAACGTGATTTGAAGCTATGTAGAAAGTTGTCATTGTAGTTGTTTGGCAAATTTTAGCTTAAATCCTGCTCAACTCCTACTACCAAACAGCCCCACAGTGTCGCAAAATCAGATAATTTATTTATAAGAGCATTTACATATATGTCATACAGTTACTCTGTATTTACATATTTAATATCTAAATTTTCATATTTATATGTGTTACACTGTCAATAAATTTTCATTATCTGATACGAATCTCGAGATATGACATGAATCTTGAGATAATTTTTTTAAATAAAAACAATAAAATTCTGATAAAAATTCATCCAAAACTTCGATTTCAGCGAACTTATAGTCAGAATGTTTAGCTTGATTATACGAACTCAATGATACATAAATTGGTCCAGTTCGAGGTAAAATTTAATTTTTTTTTGCTAAAAAATTGTCCTAAATTTCATGTCAAATGGCAAACTTCTCGATGACGAAATTCTACGAGTAACAGCTATTGCATTAGCACTAGGGCTGTCAAAAAAGCTCGTTGTTCGCGAACAGTTCGTGTTCGGTTCGTCAATGAGTTCGTGTTCGATTCGTTCGATAAGTAAATGAGACAAACGCGAATAAATTTTTTTCGTTCGGTTAGTTAAACGAACCAAACACAAACAATGATGCGTTCGTTCGTGTTCGATTATATATAAAAAAATTATTATATTTTAAAACATTAAATTTTATAAATTATAATATATAATAAAATAATAATAATAATATATTAATATACTATAGTAGTAATATACTAATATAGATATTGTATATTTATATAATATAAGTTATATAATTAATATATAATATTATTTTTATATATTAATATTAGGGATGTCAAACTGGCTAGTCGTTCGCGAACAGCTCGTGTTCGGTTCGTGTTCGGCTCGTTCGTTAAGAAACGAACACGAGTTTATTTCAAACAAACTAAATTTTAAACGAACTGAACACGAACACAAGCTTTGTTCGTTCGTGTTCGGTTCGTTTACACCCCTAATTAGCACGGCAGATTACAATTTGTTGATTTTTCTTAAAAGCATAAATTTTAATTCTAAATTTAATTTGATGAATATAAAAATTTAAATTCATAAAAAAAGGAAAACAAAATTAATGCGTACAAATTGACACGAAAACTGCTAAGGCGGTGATGCTCGACATTATCTAATTGAAGATATGGTTTTATTTCCTTTGCGGTGGAGTTGGAACTTAGTATATGCCTTGATTTAGGAAAATATTTGCGTACATAAGACGTATCCAGCGGTGCGTACGTCAGGGGTTATTCAGGGGGTACACGGGGGTTATATCCGGGTTATACCCCCTGTAACCTCCGTGTAACTCCCTTATAACCTCTATGTAACTTATTTGTACTCATGAAATTACAGAAGTGCGGAACTCATTTGTAAGTTACAGGTAGTTTACAAAGAGGTTACAGGGGGGTTACAGAGGGGTATAACCCCGATATAACCCCCCTGTATCCCCTGAATAACCCCTTGGCGTATGCAGCGCTGCGTACGTCTTATATACGCAAATATTTTCCCTTGATTTGGGTCATAAAAATTGGTTATTATTTAATAACAATTTACATACAAGCCTCATAATTTCTATCTAATTATATTCAGTACAGTGACAATTAATCTGGCGCAGGTTAATCTGGTTAAAATATAAGGGAAAAAAATATATCACGATATTTTCATATAATTTTTTTTAAGATGAAATAATTATTACCATGCATATCTTTCAATTATTATCTTTTATTTATCAATAAAATTAAATTATTAGACAATATAATTAAAATTTATGCATATATATATTTAAGTTATTTGGTATTCCTGAGTACACTCATTATAAAAGTATCGTGAGTGACTAATATTTTCAATATATTATCTAACAATTTTGATATTTATCTAATAACTTATTTATATTGTTGAATTTTTTTATTATAAAGTGAGCTAACATTACAATAGAAAAAGCATTCATATATATATCATGATGCATTTTTTTCTTAAATTTATGCAAGGAGAATTAATTCCTTAAATTTATCTTGAAAAAAGCATAATATAAAATATAATTAGTTAATTATATGTTTATCAAAAATCCCATTTTCATTAAATTTAAATCAAAATAATATAGTTCAATTTTTTTTCCTAGAAAATTATATACCCATATTTCATCATAGAGTTAAGTTACAAAAAAATCAACTGGACGTCAAAAGATACTTGAAAAGTTAAGTGGAAATGTCATGTTACATTAAATAGGTCTAGACTCTGGCCCTCTACCAGATAATTAACTTTTAATTTTAGGTCTATATGTGTTCGGTAGAGACACCACTAAGTCAAAACACTTGAGATTGAGTGCTAGAGAAAGAATGCCTGAATAGGGAAAGTTAGAGAACGAGGTTAGGCTCGTTTTTTAGCTTATATGTTTGTTTAGGACCCTTTTGCGTAATTTCATAAATTCCTCTTTTTTGCACACATGACACCTGTTTTTATATGAAGTGGTATATTTATTGCATGAATGAAATTATTAATATAATTAAGGTGGATGATGGCCTAAGATATCAAAGCATATTCTATGACACATGCACTACTCAAACGCCTCTTTCGGTTTAATTGATCTAATAATACCATCGAAATTGATTGATAAGGCAGGCAAATGAGTTAGAAAGATGCCAACTTTTTTTAGGGAGAATAGCTACGAATATGACCTAAACTAATAATAGGATGAGTTCTTGGTATCACCTTCGGGTAGCTTCATCAAAAGATGGCGTCGAATTGTCTCGTACCTAATAGTATTGGATAAACTCCCATTCTTGCTCTTGGCTCATCCTCGAGTAGTGAGGGATCCAAGGCAAGCTGTTGAGCTGTCAAACTAACCTAGGTTGATGACTTGCAAGCACAAACAAATGCTTGAGTGGATCTATGGTCAGCCAACTCTCACACAAACTCCGCAAGTTATCTAGTCAACAAATCATGAATTGACGTATAAGATGTCTTCTCGAGTTGGAGAGTTGAACATGTGTTATTAGATTTATGTGTGTAGATGGACAACATGTACTTTTAGCTCTAAATTGGCTAAATTTATTTGTATGACAACCTTGGATTATTTTTCGCCCAACCTGTAGAAGTTGGCCTGATAAAATGGACCCTAGAACTGCTTTCAGACTGCCATGTCATTATTTTTGTTGGTTGTCAGATCTCTGTAGAATTCGTTCTGACACATTTTTTGATGTGAAATCATGTACAACTACATTTAAAATAGAGACAAAAATATAATATCATCATAATATACAATTTTTCCAATAAATAGGAAAATTATTTTATGAATAAGAGATGACATAATATTGTTTATTACTCTTTTTATGAATAAGAGATGACATAATATTGTTTATTAGTGTTTGCTCTTCTCTCTCTCTTTCTCTCTCTCTCTCTCTCTCTCTCTCTCTCATTTCATAGGTGCTATTACTTGAGGTATGTTTCAAGGGCAAATAAGGATTCAGAAGTTGTATTCTCAAATTCACCCTAAGCTATATTATAATTTTCAAATCATCGTACTTTCCTCCATAAAAAACTCATTAAAAATTGTACAATATTAAATTTGTCTTTATATGTATGTATGTAACACACACACACACACACACACACACACATATATATATATATATATATATATATACACACGTGTTAAAAAATTCGTGGCGGTAGAGTAATGAATTATTGTCTTAGCGTTGCAAGAGAATTCAACACACACTTAGATAAAAAAAGCAACAATCTGTGATGACATCAGAAATTTTTATGTGGAAAATCTGTAAAGGGAAAAAACCACGGGTTTTGACCTAGTTGCAAAAATCCACTATAGATTAATGATTACATAGACATCTTGTCCCACAAACGGGAAAGAGTTGCTAGCTTTTCAAGTTACAACGCCAACTGACGGCGTTCAATCAGCGATGATCAATGGTGGGGGTTGGTGGTGGTCGACGGATGTAGACGAAGAGATGTTGGAGTTGAGCTCCTTCTCATAGCTTCAAGTTCTCTCTCAAGTCTTCCTCTCTCATGTGAGAGGTGGGGCTTTATCTATTTATAATATTTTAAGTGCAATTAATGCGGGAATATGAATCATTTTGATCGGACGGTCCAGAGAGCTTCCCTCAATCAGACAATGTACGTTTGATGGACATTTGAGTGTCTTAACGATGTCGAAATTGAGCAATCTTGGGCTCGTTGGATTCGTCTTGTCGAGACGCTCGATTCGAGCATGAACTCGTTGAATCGACATTTGTTTGATCTTTCAAATGTGTTCGAAAATTTTTTAAAAATGATTTAATCACTTGATCTTGGTTTGATTTGACTCGGATTGGATTAACTTTAATATCATTATGCCCGTGTTCGAAAATTTTTTAAAAATGATTTAATCACTTAATCTTGGTTTGATTTGACTCGGGTTGGATTAACTTTAATATCATTATGTCCGTTTTATCGAGTCGGTTAGTTTGACTATAAATTTGTCGAAATCGGAGCTCTGGATGGTTTAATGTTTCTTGCTCAAAAGATTGTCTTGAGATTTATGTCATGTCTCGAGATTCGTGTCGGATGATGAAAATTTTTTGTTGGTGTATCAAAATATATATATATATATATATCATAAATTAAAAGACAAATTTAATATTATTTTGTAAGAAATATTGTACTGAATAGGGTATAATAGTACGAGAAGATATATCCTTTAAATTTTATAATAGTATTGTCCCGATAAGATCATTTTTATCAATCTATATTAATTAATAATTTAAACCGAATAACTATCCCGTACCGTTAATCAAAACATGTTGATCAAAATTATTAAAAATATGAATATAAATATTTAACCACGGTCTTAAGAAGAATTAATTCCTTCTTTATTTATCCAGACACGAACTTTTATAATTCCATTACGATTTTCTAACTCTTTCTTCCCCGCTTTCGCGGGAATAAAAACTTACAGACAAATTCCAACAGATTTTTCAAGAAAAAACAAAGAAAACAATTGCTCTTCAGATCCATAGGGATCCAAGTAAGTGGTTCAAAATCACAACTCCATTATTGATAAGAACAGAGTTTACAGGGATTTAAATCAGGAGATAAGAAGATCATGATGAACGGCGGCACCTTAATTGCGGAGCAGGAGTTCCCGAGCAATAGCCTTCTCAAGCCACGCCTCAGCGTTCTCCATCATACCAGGACTAAGCCGAACCATGAGGATGCAGAACTCGGTCTGGTTAAGAACTCCATCGCCGTTCAGATCACCCTCCCGCACCATCGCCTCCGCCTCCTCCATCGTCATTCCCGCCATTCCAAGCCTCGCCGCGTTCCTCCGGAGACTATCCGCCGTGATCGCCCCCCGATCCGCATCGGATAGAAGGCGGAATCCGCCGCACAGCTCCGAGACAAAATCCTCCGCCGCCAGTTTCTCCGCCATCGCCGGAAGTAGGTCCATGTACTCTTCCTTCTCCTCTTCATTTTCCTCCGCCTTACTTCGTAGAGAGAATTTTCTCCCCTTTGTCGCCATTATTATAACTGGACTCTTCAGATAAGCTTCGATGTGGGTGGGCTATGTGGAGTGGTGGTGGGTGGGGGTTTATATAGATGCACGGGAGATGCTCGATGAAATGCCTGAACCGATTCATTCCTCTCGCTTTCTTCTAATTTAATAAGTGCTTTACCGTCCAGAGTGGATTGCGGCCAGACGCAACGGTCCAGAGAGGCATTTCGAGAATCCCAGACGGATTTCGCCGAAGCTTCGTGCGGTAGCCAGGCATTGAGTCTGGTCACCGCCCTTACCATTCTTTTCCTTCAAGTACGGCTTTTTGAAATATGGGCTTTTTAAAAAAAACATTTAAATTTATTTTAATATAATTTATATACAAAACGATTTTGTATTATATTAAAATAAATTTTAATGTTATTTAGTTAATTTTAAATTTGTTGGAATATAAATATTTAATATAAAGTATTAAGCTCAAAGCTAATTCAATAACTTTCAAATTAATTTTGATACAATTTATGTTAAGATATATCTTGAGAATTATTGATTTTTCTCATTAGTTTTTTTGCATGATTGTACGATCTTTAAACTTTATTTTGACATGATTAAATGGGTGATGGCATTGCCGAATTTGGGCCACATATTTTATAAGTTATGACATAATGTTCCTTAAAAATACAAAGTAGTCATTGTCATTTGGAAAAGCAACTGGCAGTTGTGATGAGAATGGGTAAATTCTCTTTTAACTGATTGATTTAGTAGTCATACCACAGGGGGGCAGGTGTTATTTTGTTTATTCTTCCTTAAATATTTCTCCTATTTATATGAGATGTGGTGGGTAAATTCTCTTTTAACTGATTGATTTAGTAGTCACACCACAGCGGGGGCAGGTGTTATTTTGTTTATTCTTCCTAAAATATTTCTCCTATTTATATGAGATGTGGTATAATAATAATAATATTACATTTTTATTCTCTTTTAAAAGGGGTTTGCGGAACTGGGTTTTCTATTAGATTGACTCTACTGTGGGATAAGCTATTGCATCGAGTCGGCTCAGACACTTTCTTGTCGTATGACTCACATTTGGATCACTTGGTTGTCATCTTGTACGCTTTTTGGCTCAGTCAAGTTTGACTTTGTTGATTTGACTCGTTCGATCAGACGAGCCTCGCGATCTCCTTGTAGTAGATCTGCCTTCATCATACTCTTCTCTTCCGAATTGTTGGATTTCCTTAAGATCAATGCATATACTTTTTTAATATATTATTTCACTTTTTAGTAGTCAAAATAATGAGATTTTTTATACAATAAGAATTATTCAGATGATATACATGTAAATACATAGAAATTTGGTGTATGCATGTAAAATCCCATAATTCTATACCCGAAATCCTTGAGCAAGTAAAAAGAAATAGAGAAACTAACCAAGTTTGCTACACTTGAGAAAATATAGTGTCAAGATAACGTGGGTGAGGTGGTGGTATTATAATGATATCATGACAATATTGCGGTACAATATGATCACAAATACCACAGAAATTTTGTTGCATGTGTTATTCCGGCGGTATTTTGATGATATTATGGTGGTATTGTGATACAATACGATCACAATACCATCATAATACTATCAATCCACCCACATCTCATCTGCACGCAATATCTAATTTTGTAAAAAAAGAATAGTTTAAATGTATATTTCATCAATCTATAAATAAATTTAATATATATATATATATATTTAATAAATATATTTTTGCTATAAATCAAGCTGAACTTGATTTGTTCTGCTAAAAATCCATCTGGCCAGCTGACTATTGATTAGATTTTATTCTTACCTTTGTCTGTGTTCTTATGATAATTTTTGTGAGAACCAGATATCAATTTGCAATATAATATGTATGGATGGATTGCGCTTAAGGTGGCAGTTGAACATGAACCGGTCATCTTCTTATGAAAGAGAAATTTATTTACATCCCACATAATTTTTATATATTACTCCATTCAATATTTAAATTTAAACTTTATTTTTTTATATATAAATTTTAGTATTTTAATCATGGCAAAATACTTTATGAAAATGTATGTTTCACTTTTAAAAATTTAATTTTAATAGTATTCTTATTGTGATATTAAAGATTTAAGTGGTATGTAAATAAATACTAAAATTTAGAAATTAAATAAGCAAATACATAATATGAATACTAATTATTACATTACTGTGTGGTATATATGTATGTAAATTCTAGGAGTGTCAAAAATTGACTTGATATGTCAATTTGAGCTAAACTTGACCCAAAAAGTTTGGGTTTTGGTGGACATGAATAATTTTTTTTCCATCGAATTTGGGCTAGTAATTCTAATTCATTTAATTCTTGAGTCGGGCGATGGTTGACTTGCCAACCTGAAACCAATATAAAAGTGACTGTTAACTTGAATTGACTTGAAATCAAATCACCAAGTCTAAATTGATCAAGATTTGCCTCAAATTGTTGTCATGCCCTATATTAAACATGTTATACCAGTTGGGTTCGAGTCAACAGGTTTAAGGTTGGTGGGGTTCAAATTGAAATTTTTGAACCATTTAAATATTCTAGCAGGGGTCAGGCCGAGGGGTGTTGAGTTGGTTCAATTTTAGGTCAGACCTGAACCCGATTTGTAAAAATGGCTTAACAGCCCTAGCAAATCCCACAAAAAACATAAAGAAATGATAATTATAACAATAAAATAATATTTTTAACAGTTGCTTCAAAATTTTATGTAAATTTAAAACTCCAATATATATTTTAAGACAGAAGTAACATAATTTCAATTTATTACTAATTTTAGCATCTATTTTCTTAATGGCTAATTTATCATCTATTAAGGATTCATAATTTAATTAAGTAATTAGTAGTCCT